ATGCCAGATTCTGCTCGAAAAGCAGTGCAATGGACAGAACGATACAAAACTTATGTCAGTTATGGCAGGCACTTCTTTGAATTCTGCTCCATTTCTTTACCCACATACCAAGCATGCATGAAACATAACAACAATTTTCCAAATTCTGTCGTCTTTTCCGCTGTTTTGTTAGTAACTCTTGGAAATACAGTACGTACTACTGTTCTGTAGTGTGCTGCACCGTGGCTGAAACTCTTGGTTCTCTTTCTGAAGCACTTTTTGGTTGATCATTTAAAGTTATCGACATCCAATATCAGTTGCCTGCTTTTTACTTCTCAACTCAAACGCACACAGCACATTGCCAAGCATGAACAGCACGGATGGGTATCAGTGACCATTTGCTTCTAGGATAACAACAGTGAAATATAACTAGGGTGCAATGCGGTGAATAACGTGTTGTGAACAGCACAGTCGCTTATTGAATAGAAGTAAAACAACTGGTGCAATGAGATAATTATAACGAAATACTACCATTTTAAAGAGACAGTTTGTCTTATGTCGCACATATGGACGAAGAAAAGTCTCTCAATGCGCCATGTGACACGTTTCCACAATTATTTCCACGTACTGGTCGGAATAGTGCCTGTGGAATCAGCAGCTATCCGTCCTCCCAGTACATGCGTAAATAGCGTTAGCTAGTGATAACATCTTTGTGGATGAGTTACACTCTAGTGTACAGGCAGTCTACCCCAGTGAACAGTGAAGACTACCAGTAAATACAAAGACTTTAGTTTAGGTAGCTATGTCTAGAGTGCAACATAATCCACACCAAACTGACCGGCCAAGTGTTCCTCCATACAGCATTCACGGCAGTTCAGCATGCTTGCCAGTTGAGTGACTGCTTTTGCAAAGGCCTACGGCCTGTCGGGCAAGTGCTTCCTACAGCTACCACCTTTCCCTCCACATGGCTACCTTTCTCTCCATACAGTGATGGTATGCTATAGGGTAGCGTGATGCCTTAGTCGTCAATATTCTCTCTTCGAAGCCACTGGTCCTCTCCGCAACGACGAGAATGCTTGTCGCAGACGTCCACGGGTTGCAGAATGCCATCCTCACCACTGTAACATCTTGGATCTGCAGGGTGACCCCATCGCCATGCCTATGTATGCCTTGGGTGTCACCCCGCTTATCGCTGATATGGCTTCTGCCGACCTGGTACAGGAATGGTACGAGGATGATTCTTCAGCTGGCAGGCGCCTATGCCCGCATAGCTTTGCAACCGATTGTCCGATTTACGCAAATGACGGCCCATTGGAAAGGTCTTGAGTGAGGCTATACATTGGGATGTGATTCAATTTGATATTTAAGTAAACTTCATTGTGAAATGGGGATGTTCATAAATCAGACTTTTGAACCCGATTTTTCGTGGCACAATTATCAGATTTTTCTAACGGATGTTTTGCTTTCCACTCGCTGTCGTCACAAGGTGATCATAGCTCACCTTGACCTTGTGGAGTCTGCCGACGGCTCTCTTCAGCTCTGTGTTGGCCAACCGAGTGGGATCGAGGCCGCTATACACGCCATGAACGACACCTTTCACAATCCGGACGTGAATGGCGTGCTCCTTGCGGACGGCTCCAACGCCTTCAACCGGTTGAACCGCAAAAGCCTGCCTCCTGAACATACGCCATCTCTGCCCGGGACTGGCCCCAGTGGTCATTAATACGTACCGATCCCCCGCTCGTCTCTATGTCGACGGTGAAAGAATTCTATCATGTGAAGGCACCACCCAGGGTGACCCCATTGCCATGCCTATGTATGCCTTGGGTGTCAACCCGCTTATCGCTGATATGGCTTCTGCCGACCTGGTACAGGAATGGTACGAGGATGATTCTTCAGCTGGCAGGCGCCTACGCCCGCTACGGCGATGGGGTAGTAGTAGTACATGTAGTAGTATTCTTTCACGAGGGCAATCCCCACAGACTGTGAGTCTTTTCACAGGGTAGCCTTGGTAAGTGCGTGAAATGAAGAAAGCCGTAAGTGCGTGAAATAGAGTAAAGAAAAAAAACCGGTGCCTGCATACTATGCCTTTACGTGTTGCAAAAGAGGCTGCGAAGAGTACTGTTGAACATTGCGAAGGAGGCTGCCTGGCGGCATGCTGCTGGAAGCGAATTCCACCTATCACGGTGGGATGACCTGAATGCAAAAGGGTCGGATTATGGGTACTTCCTGAATGCAACAAAGTCGATCCTGCTCGTGAAACCTGAGGCGTACGAGGAAGCCACTGTGATTTTTGCTGGTACTGGTGTGCGTATTGAGAAGGATGGTTGTCGTTATCTAGGAGTAGCCCTTGGCACACAGTCCTTTGTGGAAGAATACGTTGCTAATAATGTCACCGACTGGGTCCAGCAGATTCGTCGTCTGGCTGATTTTGCAGCGACTCAACCTCAGGCAGCCTACAGTGCCTTCATTTAGGGACTACAGCCGCGGTGGTCCTTTCTCTCAAGAACCCTTGAGGATGCCCATGCGCTGTTTGGTCGTCTTGAAGACGTGATTCGGGATATCCTGATCCCAGCTCTGACAGGCCACGCGCCACCGTCTTCTCAGGAGCGTGCACTGCTGGCCTTCCCATGTCGCCATGGTGGTCTTGGCATCACCGACCCGACATCTATGGGCGGCAACTACCGCAATTCACGCAGGATCACGACATCCCTGTGGGAGATATTAATCACCCAAGATTCCTCCCTAGATGGCCCGCGGCGCAAGAAGGCAGAGTTACGTACGACTTTGCGAACCAACCTCCTGGCAGCCGTGAAGCCTTTCAAGGATGGTGCTGGAGCAGAGCTTGAGCTGCAGTTGACCCTCGCATCGGAGAAGGGGGCCTCTAGCTGGCAGACTTGCCGCCCTCTAGCCATTCATGGATTTCGTTTGTCCAGTGTTGCGCGATGCCCTCTGTCTCCGGTACGGGTGGACACCAGCACGCGTGCCATCAGGATGCGAATGTCACCATGGTAATTTTGACGTCACCCATGCCTTATTATTATTTTTTTACTGAATACCACAGAACCATCAGATGCTGCACAGCGGGGGCGGTGGCATATTATCCTGCAGTACTGGGGGGCTTCCCCAGTATTCGCCACAATGAGATTCGAGACCTCACGGCTGATGTTCTGCGTCAGGTCGCGCACGGTGTCTGCACAGAACCGATGCCGCCAGTCATCGGAGAGAAATTCCGGCTTCGGTCCACAACGACCGCTGATCAGGCTCGTTTTGATGTTGCCACCAACGGAATCTGGGGTGGCCGATTTGAGCGCACCTTTCTTGATATAAGGGTTTTCAACCCCTATGATGCCTCAAATCGCGCTGCCTCAGTTTCCTAAGTGTATGCACGTCATGAGAAGGAGAAACGCCGGAGGTATGAGCAGCGTCTGCTTGCGGTTGACCGCGCCACGTTCGTACCAGTAGTGCTGTCAGCCACTGGTGGCAATAGCAAGTGTGCATCGGCCCTGTTCAAGCATCTTGCCAGCAAGCTATCTGACAAGCTGAAAGAGCCGTTCTCCGTCAAGATAGCATGGCTTCGCTGCAAGCGAAGCTTTGCATTAGTTCGAGCTAGCGTGATGTGCCTTCGTGGGGCAAGATCCTCATCCGCACACTGTGTCACCAGGGATCCCGCGTCTGTAGTAATAGCCGAGGTACGTGTTTCCTTGCAGGACTGTTGAACTAAAGACACATATGTTCATGTGTGTGTCTCGAGCCCCTTGGCGAGCTTTTCGCCTCCATACAAATTACTTGCCCCTTATTATTTCAAGGAGAAGGCGGAGAGCCGGAACGTGCGCAATTTTATTTTTATTATTTGCCATGGCGACCCCGTAAGCCCTGGTAACTGGCAGGCTTGCAGGGCAGGGTTGGGCATTTTTTTCTTTTTTTCTTTGACATATCTACGTCTTGTTTTGTTCGCCCGTAAAAGAGGCTTACCAACAAAAAAGAAAAAAGTTTGAGTCAATTATGTGGTTATAAAACAATTCTTCAACGTGAAGACCTGATGTGATGCTTTGCAAGCTCTCAAGACTAGTACTCTCAAGACTAGTACTCATCATACACTCTCCTGCCACTGTGACGTGTTAGTAAAGTGGTGATACGCAGGTGACCGGCTGCACTGATTGCCCCCGGACGTCTGGTTTGATTAACCCCACCTGCCCACTCATAGCTCGACACACCACTTCTAATAGGACCAGGACCATGACGGACTGTGGTGTTGAAGAGAATTCAGATATTGAATGAAGTACATGATGAGTAATGCTGGGATTACTGCAATGTACGTGACACACAGAACAGTGCATGCTTGCGTGAAAGTGAATTAGCTTAGACAAAAGATATCATACTAAGTCCATATTCTTCGTGTTCCGTTGCATTCACCATATCTTTTTCGCCTCTCTGACATGTTCTCCCTTCGTCGTGACTGCGCTCACACAGCTAGAGTAACCCGCGGCCAAGTCAATTATTCCCTTTCCTTACCCATTGTGCAAGCTCAAGCTGGATACAGATCTATTTCATTCCTTGGTGCTGACCGCTTTGATGCGCTTCCCGAATTCCTTCGCACAAATCTAATCCCCAATTCATTTCGCGAGGAACTTAACAATTAAATTTCATTCATCTTGGGCACCCCGTAAGAAGACCTTAAGGGTCTGTTGGGAATCCCCAAGTAAAATAATAAAATACAATACAAAGTGTGCATTTAGGCATGTGAACATGCTTATGTGTTTGTGTATGTCGTGCGGGGGAGGAGGGGGGGGGGGGAGGTGCTGGACTGGATATTATTGTAAAGTACAATAGTTCGTTAAGTTTAGACAGAGTGTGAATGTGTGATACATGTATTGTGAAAGACACTAAGACATAATGGCACAGTAAGCGATGTAGCTCTACTAAGGAGACGGAGGGGAGACGAATAAAGATACATTTTTGCCAGCTAGCTGGCCTCTGCGTACACCGCAGACACACCCACACACAACAGAAGATACAGATCACAGTAGAAGGGTGGTCTTTGTTCACTCACGGTGGAATATGGAAGAGCTTAGCGTAGTGCATACATGAGCAAGAAGAAGGGCATGCCACCTCACACATATACATGTACACGTATGTACCAGACCAACATGATGCAAAAAGTGAACCACTGTGGTGAATGGGGCCGCCAGATAATTAACCAGCCCGAAGCTGGCGGAAAAAAAACCAGGACTCCGGCGGAGGCACATCCCTGAGGAAAAAAACGGTGAGAAAATCCCCATCGGATAAATGAAAAAAAGTAGCCTGCAAGACCTATCCAGAAGTGAGAATAAAGGGGAGGGCGGGAAACTACAACGAAAAGAGAAAGACCACGAGGAAGAGAAAAGTTTGAGAACACTGACAAAAAATCCAGCTATAGCAATCCTGGTGCCGTAACTATGGTGCAAATGCTGGCAAAAAAAAATACATTTTCGTTTCATTTGCTACGCTCAGCCAACGAAATATAACACATCTAAGTTGAAGCCTAAATCGAAGCGTGGTAACGTAACTACTCTATCCGTCTAGTGGCACAAATGTCGAACGTCGGAAATAAAAAATGTACGAGCAATAGCAAAAGCGAAAGGATGAAGACAATGTGCAGACAGAGCATGGACATAGTCTGATAAACCATTATCCAAACACCATTTAAGAAGAGGTACATTCAGGGCGACAGGACGACATTAATATCGAATAATTTTACACAGGCAGAAGAACGAGCAGTTGCGGTTTCGAAACTCTGAGTTTCACGAAGTGAATCGATCATCTGGCGAAAATTGGTAATGACCCTGCCCTGAGAGTACTGCTATATACATGTACTATGAATGTGGGAAGCCCAGCATAACAAGTACCTTAGTTATGATATCAATTAATCTTATATGCATGAATCTGGCTGCGAAAAGGTGTTTTAGTTATTACTGTTGGGACACATTTCTTCAACGTGAAGGCTGGACGTGATGCGTGACGAACCGGATCTATAGTAACCTTCATACTTGTAACGGCCACTGTGGTCTGCTAGTTTAGTGGTGATGCGCAATGAACCTGCTGTATTGATATTACACACACCACTGATTGCTCCTGGAAGTATGGTGTAAACACTGCCACTTCCCGAATGATAACCTGACACACCACTTCTAATAGGACCAGGATCTTGACAGTCTGTGTTGTTGATGAGAATAGAGATAGTGAATGTAGTCCATGTGTAATGATATGATCCAAACGTTGCAGTGTACATGATACGTAGCACAGTGTCTGCTCTGGTCTTGTTGTAAATTACATTCATTGGGTAAACAGCACTGGTTCCTGTTACTTGCCGGAATGTTTTCCATGCAACAATGCCGCACTGTACACACGACAGTAGAAATAAACACATATCCATTGCCATTAGAAATGCATTCTATTGTAAATGCTCATACACGCACCCGTGACTATTCCGCAATATGGCCACAATGTGCACAGCCTTAAAAGATTTTAATGCGAATATTTATAATGGTATCTAGGTACACACTACGTACCCGTTGAGTCCTCTCATTTTATTGTAAAAACACTAATCCATGAGCACCAAAGTGTAGCATACAAAATTCAACGGAGTACTCATCATCAGCAGATCGTGAGTTCGAACTGTTTGCTTTACAATTGCCTGCGTATGAGTTATACACGGAGAGGTACAGGGTAAGAACGTCGTACACTAACAACAGGCCTCTCTTTTGTTTAAGACAAAGCCCAGGTTCGTATTCAGTCCCCCCCCCCCAGCCGTATTCTATCATTCACGCCGGAACTGCTGCTGCATAGCCTGAAGTCTAAAGACTTGGCAACTTCACGGCTGCCCCTGACTCTTGCGCTATGGGACCCCTCAGAATTTAGGCTTGGAATTGTAAAATATTCTTCTTTTCTCTTTTATGTGGCATTGATGGCTTTGTGTATAGTATGCGTACAATTACGAAATAATCAGGTGAGTTTGGGCAGCTGTAGAGTGTAGTGGAAACGACCCTGATCCACGAAAACAGGTGGACAGTGTACAAACGACCCTGATCTACGAATACAGATGGACAGTGTACAAACGACTCTGATCCACGAATACAGATGGACAGTGTACAAACGACTCTGATCCTGTGTTCGGGAACTACGATTCATTAGCCTCTGAAAGCAGGGCATCACTCTGTTTCCTGTTCTACAGAAAACAAATGCTCCACCTGGAAACGTATTGACTACAACATCATCTTTTCAAGTTTTCAGGGTCTCTTTCCATGGTCCACTTGACGTCTCTATGATACCTAGACCACATGTCGGCTGAGGACAACATGCCTCACGAACACTTTGCTCATATTTGGAATTGTGTTCTTTTCCGCTCAACTGGGTGCGAAATTAAACCTCATCCAGTATGCTATCGTACAAACCAGCAATGTCATTTTACTGTTTTGTTTCTTCTCAGTATAAGAGTGCCAGACCTACTTACAGTGGTGTTTTGCTTCCGTTCCACATTAGTCAGATGTTGATCAATTTGATTGAGATCGCTCCTCATCGCATCCACCTCCATGTTGAGGTGTTTCTTGGTAGTGTGCAGTTGGGATTTGGTGGCCATAGTGGAGATAGTGGAGAGAAGATCGGACTTGGTGCCATCCAACATTAACCTGGTGTCATTTGCTATGGTGACAAGTGATGTATCTACCATTGACTTGGTGTCATTCAACGTTGCTTTGGTTTCAAGTACAATAGCGGCGAGACCATCATCCATCATTGCTTTAGCATCAATCAACCTAACCTTGTTATATTTCACCATTTCCTGTGTTTGAAGGAGATCCGATTTTGTTTGAAGGAGATCCGATTTTGTTTGAAGGAGATCATCTCGCAGGCGATCAGTTTCTGCATCGAGTGTGCTTTGCATTGCCTCCATGGTGTTGGAAGTGTCCTTGTGGTACCTCCTGAAAGCAGTGGCCATTGAGTGGACTTCAAACACTAGTCTGGAAATTTCGCGATCGCGCTGATCCAATTTCTTCTCCAGTTGCTTGTTTTGATGTTGGAGGTGTTTCGCCTGGTGGCAAAGATTGGAATCCAGGGAGGATGTGCAAATATCAGCTGTGGGAGTATAGCAAAATACAAAAATCCAATTCAGACTCTAAACAGTATGTGGAGTAGTAGATATACATAATTATGGCTCTATTCGTAATTAGTACAGGTGGTGGGTCGTCTTCATTGATCTTCTCACCAACCTTCGCCTACTGAGCCTTTTTTCGTCAAGATTCTTGACAGCGATGGTGTTCCTATCCGATCTGACTTAGTATCACGCAAGCCATTCAATAGATACTTACTACTTCTCAGTTGTAATATACTCCATTATTTTGGATAGGGGTGCACGATGTGAGGGAGAACGGTAAAACGTATGGGAGAATTCTGCATTATTATTATGGTTAATGCTCATCGAAAAGAGCCTGGTGCATTGTTAGCTGCCAATACCCACGATCATTTTCTCATGAGCAGCTAAGCGGCCATAGTTCAATTCAGTGTGCAAGATCAAATTCGTGGCCCAAACGGTCTATTGTGCACTATACCTTCACAATGGAGACCATTTCCATGGAAACCACTCTTGCAAACACATGTAAACGATCCAATTGTGTTACTGCAGTTGGCATGCTCGTGACAGGGTGATGGTGTGTCAATGCACTCGTTGACATCTGTGGACAGAACATTCAACAAACGTGGAGCAAATAGGATTAATCCGAGGACACAATAAGCCTGAAAGTCCATACGGTTTGCGCTATTGTGATAAAACACTTATACTTGTCTCAGTTGCTGGTGCTCATCTCCGTTTGTTGCCCAGTACTAGAGGTCACAGTGCTTTTCTAGAATCTGAGTGACGTAGTACATGACAGAAATGAGTGATAGAAATGCGCATATTGGCAAACAAGAGTGATCGTACATTTCTGTATAAGTGTATATCAACGCAATGACGATGTTTATTGCTTACTAGGTATATATAGTATTACCTGAAGCCGAAGTGAATATGGGCAAATATTCACTAGTATACAAACCGAGGCGAAGCTGAGGTTTGTATAACTGGTGAATATTTGCCCATATTCACCAGGCTGAAGGTAATGTTAGACCTATACCTCTCCATATTCACCCTATCGTCCCTAAAGCCCAACAAACGAGTCACGTTTGTCATACATGTACGTGTACGCAGAACTAAGGCTGCAACCACACTATGTACAAAATCAAGTACGCGTTTGCGTTCAGCTTTTAGATAACGCAAAGTCGCATCCACACTGCCATTTCATGCGCAAGGAATCCTTGCGTTTTGTCTACATTTCTGGGTCCCAGAAAAAATAGCGCTGTGAAAATGTATTGTACTACATGTAGTAGTAGTTTGAAAAAGAGTCGCGAGCGCCTTGACATACACGTTCAAGGCCTCGGTCATCTCCTTCTCTCGGATTGTCCGCTCCAGGATGTCATCTGGCCCTGCTTCGTCTTCATGGTACGCTGCCCCAAGCTGCATGAGCTTCTCAATTTGAGATTATCAGCGAAATACAATGTAGTTGCGCGGCATCTCGAACTAACAACAGCAGGCAACGGGACTGTCCGGAACTTATACTGAAAGCAAAGCCCTGGCAGATGAAATCTCAAATACTACAAACTGCACTGACAAGGAAGCCGTCTACTACCGACACAGTGCAAGCCTCAACAAGAAACATCTACCCGTATGAAGAACCGAGCGAAACGCAAGGAAAAGGCGAAAAGTTGCTTTCTACAGGGGTACCCGGTTTGCTGAAACGAAACGCAGTACGTTTTGCGTTTCGTACGCGTTTCCTTGACGACACAAGCAGAAAAGTTGCGTTTACGCAGTTTTGTACCTAGTGTGGTTGCAGCCTAACGCAAGTCGTTGTTACTTCAGTATCGAAAACCGACTGGCGTGTTCTTGCATGAATCGGAGAGCGGCATGTTCAGAATCTTGTTCAATCGATCGTGTACACGTACTGGTGCATGTGGCATGGGAGGTGACGACCTTGGAGAACACGCTCGCGCCAATCACCATGGAGAACACACTCGTGCTTGACGGGAGCCAATCATCGTCCGTTTCGATGCGAAGATTTGACCAATCCGGATCATCGCGCGAATTCGGCAGTCGGTATATAAACAGCGAGCCAAGCGATTCTACCCTCGCTTCTTTTCTTTTCAGGCAGCGCTTCGGAGCTGTTGTGTGCCCTAGGAAACTTCTACGCTAACGTCCGTGAACAGGGCTATTCTGAATACAAACGAATTTCCTGGCTTGCGGCTTGATCCGCAATCATCGGGCCATTGACATGTGGAGCGTCCAAAACCTTGTTTGCACGCTGGAACGCTCCGTGTCTGTGAAGATGCTCACTGTTGGTTGATGACTTGTCAGCACCTGGTCACATGCGGATCCAGCGGCAATGGCAAGCAAGGAATTTCGTTTGTACTCAGAAAAGTCCTGTTTACGGAAGTTAGCGTAAACATTTTCTAGGGCACTCGACAGCTCCGGTGCGCCAACTGAAGAGGAATGAAGCGCAGCACCGGGTACTGCTCTCTGTACAGTAAATATCGAAAAGTGGTGAATATAAGCGGTGAATATTCAGCAATATTCACCACTTCTGTAGATGGCCAATTGTATCTGGGTGAATATGGAATGAGGTATAACACGTTATACTGCTCATCATAATCGTCATGTTATCATAGAATCCAGCAGCTGCACAAGGAGGCTCCTGGCCTCGCCAACAGCGTGATTTCGTTCATCAGATGGGCCTCAACCAGCGAAAACAGCCGTTAGGGTCAAAATATTCAAAATCTCTTTTTGGTTAGAATTCTTTTGAAACACATCTCCTGAAGGACCTCAGCCGAGAAAAAGTTCAATTATTCCGATTCAAAATGTGTGTACACCAATATACAAGATGTACTCCAAATTGGTGTAATTTATGTATACGATTCATGTGTACAATAAATATTCAGCATTCTAAGGTGGGTGGGCTCTTGAATACCTTTGAAACAGTGCAGTAGGCAGCTAGAATGACAAAGAATAACTAAATAGAGCGGAGACATGACCGACATATGCGCAGCTGCATCTTGCGTGGAGTCGTTCCGCAATCTCTTCTTCCATTTCTTCCTCAGCAACTGAAGACACGGCGTCGCTGCTGTCACTAGCCCCAGACTCAGAATTATTTATTTCAGGTGACGACTCCTCATCTTCCGACTCTGACTCCTCATTGGCCACCTTGAGCAGGGCATGACGGCTGCGATTCCGCCTCGCTGTCGACATATTTGTCGAAACCAAAGAACTTCTCATCTTCACTCTTCAGCGGCTACTTCAGCATCCGCTCCCCACCAGGCTCGAGCTAGCTGTACACAATGACAGCCGCGTGTGCTCGGCAAACAGCTCTGGCGTCCGCAGCCATCGCAACAAGATCAAGGAACACTCGAGTCGCAACTCGACACCACTTCAACTTCGAAAATAGATTACTTCAAGCAAGGAGCTCAAGAAGAACTCGTCGCGCTGTTCAAAAAATCGTTGAACGTCACAAATCGACCTTTTTCTCGAAAGAATTACGAAACCTCTAAGGGTCGTTTTCGCTGATTGCGCCTCAGATCATCATGAAGACCACGCACAGGTCTGGGCGGATAATGCTAGTTCCCGTAGCTATGCAGAAGACGTTACTTCAGTAACGTCTGGCGCTAGCCAGGGTCCACACAGCTTTAATTTGGTGTTTGTTTGTTTGTTTGTTTGTTTGTGTCACGGCTGGAGCTATCCCGTATCTGTCCCGTATCTGTCCCGTATCTGTGACTACAAAGGCTCTACAGGATTGTACATAACAGCTGTCCACAATATTTGCGGGCTCCTGTATCTGTCCCGTACCGTACCAATATTCGTCGTATTATGTATACGACTCCCTGATGTAGAGGGAGATTTGGAAAGAAATAGGGAGACGAGGAGGAAATTAAATTAGAATAGACGCCGAATAGGTGATAGGATGCGTCATCATAAACATACTTTGGAAGAGAGATCCCGTCGTCTCCAAAATAAGCGTGAACGAGCGATTCAGCGCCGGTCACAGGAAACGTCGGAAGAGAGATCCCGTCGACTCCTAAACGCCCGTGATCGGCAGAGTCCGCCGGTCCCAGGCAACATCAGGACAGACATTCCGTTGAGTCCAGAACGCCCGTGATCGGCAGAGTCTAAGCCGGTCCCAGGAAACGTCAGGACAGACATCCCGTCGAGTCCAGAACGCCCGTGATCGGCAGAGTCAGCGCCGGTCCCAGTAAACGTCAGGACAGACATCCCGTCGACGCGCAGAAAAACTAAATCTGCAGCCTCTTTTGCTGTCGGACAGGATACGTATTTTAGGAGACTGTAAAGTTATGTAATGTCCAAATTTCGACGTGAGCAGCAGGTCACTCGCGTTGATTTTTCGACGTGCGAGCCAAATAACGCGAGCTGAACTTTCGCGTCGCAGACATCCCGTCGACGCGCAGAAAAACTAAACCTGCAGCCTCTTTTGCCGTCGGACAGGATACGTATTTTAGGAGACTGTAAAGTTATGTAATGTGCTCCACAGGCAACCATGCATTCGGCGTCGTCATTGGCTCAACAGGTCAATGTACATGTATTACTACAAAAAGGCCAGAAAATCCGATTACTGTATTAAAATCAACTAATTTTCGCTGGCGATTTAATTTCGCTGATTTCGCCGCTTGGTATCAACCGGCCAAAGTAAATCGGAGGCCAAAGTTTGTCGTATAGGCAAATGATGCATGATTGAGCAATGGATGCATGTGAGAGCAAAAATACCGATCGATTTCAAATTTGACGTGAAATGTGGAAACGTTTTTGCAATACAGTGATGTGGCCAATCAACGGAAAAAGACATTTCCATCAGTTCTTAAAACATGTACGATGAGCTAGGCAAAAAAGCATAAAAGCATAGCGTAGGGCCCTGAGCTTCCAAGCTCTCTCGTTATTTTGCGGGATAATGCTAATAGCAATGCCAGAAAAACTGTATCATAATGCTACTTGTAATGCTGCTGTTCCTCTGTAATGCCAGCAATTCACCAGTAGTAAGTATGGAAAAATGGCTTGGTTTGGGCAGTATTGTGCACGCTTCGTAGTTCTGCGTAGACGGCATGGAAAATTCTAGAAAATCATGATCATAATTTTATGCTGCTATTGCTCCATACAATCCCTTTCAGCTAACTGTCCAGCGAGGAAAGTCTCGAGTGGAGGAGGCCTCTCGATCTGCTCGCTCATTCGCCTGGCATTCAGTAGCACTTTATCGCCAAGGACTTCAATTCAAAACAGTTTTTCACACTGCGTTTCAAGCCTTTTTCCTGGTGAACTTGCTGCAAACGTATGAGCTCTGCTGCGCGTGTTCCCTTTGTATGAGGCCCAGAAACAGCTAGTATCTCCGTACTTCGATTGGCTGGATCGATGTCGTCCAGGTTCTCCTCGCTATCGCCATCACGACTCTAACTGGACTCGATTTCTTCACCATTTCCGCAAGCAGCAGCTAGCGCAGAAATTTCGCCATCCCTGAGTGTAGGAGATGGAATCCGGCCGATCAGCTCAAAAACTCTTCGTTGCGACTAGAGGAGTAGCAGGGAATATTCTACCGGAAGCCCTTTGACCTCCCTGACTGCTGAAACACTTCCTGCCATGACTGCTGCTTCTTCAAACAAGCGAGATTCTCTTTGGTTCCACTTTATTTATTTATTTATTTATTTCTGCACCTCGTGGCTTCACTGCACTCGAGCGTCCACGCGACACAACTTTTTTTTACAAAACATCATTTTTTCTCAAAAGAGTGATTTTCACCCTAAGCCTGGTTTTCCAAGAGGTAAAGGCCATTTGAGTATAATGCCACTTTTGCGGAAATGTAGTGTTATAATGCTAGCATAATGCTCGTTGCAAATCGCACACTATAATGCTACTTATAATGCTTTGGCTTCATACTTGCTCATGCTTTACGTCGCAGTATGGAACAAAGTGGGTACTATACATTGAAGGAAGTTGGATTCACGGTTCCTATTTACCTTCACATAGACGGCCATCACCGTAGAATCCGCTGGTGCATTCACAAGCAAATGATCCATGTGAGTTGAAACACATGGCAATAGCAGGATCTGCACAATTGTTGAGTGATGCATCCGAGCACTCATCGATATCTGGAATACGAATTCAAACCAAATTGGATTACTGGATAATCTTGATTCAAGAAATGGGGGAATGGATTTGTACTGCGCATGTTCGTTACCGAGTGCCTGGTCTTTGTTAAGTGGGGGCCTTCAAACATTCAATAGGTGTTATAATAGGTATGTTTAAGAGAGCATGTCTGAGAAAACCAGAAAAACTGGGCTGGGCCATCTATCTTCATTTCGCTCAAATTTTGCAAGTAGGTCTCCTTTGGGGCCTACAACAACCATGCAAAAGGACTCGTTCAATAACTGACGGACACCTTGGAGCTGGGGACCACCTCGAAATGGGCCCTAAATGCGAGAGAATATTGGGTCCAAAAACGAGCGCTGGTACAGCGTACACGATTGAGCTGAGAAGAAACCACCACCATGCCAACACTACCTCACCTGAGTAGTGTGGTGATATTATAGCACCTTTCTCGGCCTGCATGGGTCTTGGCACTTAGGCTGCTAGTGACGCTGTGCAGAGCCAGCTGTCCGACATGGTGGGCAAGGGCGTCATTGAGAAGGTGCCTGTCGGCGAAGAATACACTTGGTGCCACCCACTGGTGGTGGTCCCTAAGAAGAATTCCAGTGAGCCGCGCATCACGATGGACCTGACGGGACTAAATAAATGGGTCAACAGGCCGGCATACCCAACCCGAATACCTCGGGAGGTCGTCGCTTCGACCCAATGGGGATGCAGTACTTCACCATCCTAGATTCTGGCCATGGCTACTGGCAGGTACCCCTCGACGACGACAGCACCAGGCTCACAACGTTCATGACGCCATGGGGTGCCTACCGTTTCAAGCGGAACGTCATGGGCTTGGTGTCGGCAGGTGACGAACACAACCGGAGAGGAGACGAAGTGTTCGCCGGGTTTTCGAATCTTCAGAAAGTGGTAGAGGATGTCATCGTGTACGACACTGAGCTTGAGGCGCACACCCAGAGGGTTCGCAATGTTCTCAAGCTTTGCTGGGCGAACCAAATCACACTGAACCGCCGCAAATTCGTCTTTGCGGCACCCAGAGCATCGTACTGCGGATTCGTGGTGACGCCGGACGGCTACTGTCCTGATCGTAGCTTAGTGGAGGATCTACACAACTTTCCAATCCCCACCAACCGCACTGATATCCGATTCTTCTGTAGACTCGTGCAGCAGTTTGACGCGTTCACTCCGCGCCTAGCGGAGCTTCTATCCCCGACCCGCTATCTGCTCTCTCCAAAGAATGAGTTCGTCTGGGAGGATCCGCAGCAGCAGGCATTTACAGCTATACTAGAGGAGCTGGTAAGCCCTCGAGTGTTGGCTACCTTCGACCCAGCACAGCCGCTTCGTCTCGAGACAGCCGCCTCGCAGCCAAACGGTCTCCGCATGGCACTGTGGCAGCAGCAAGTGGACGGGCGGTGGCGTCTAGTGCAATGTGCTTCACGGCACGTCACTGAGACCGAGGCCAGGTACTCTGCAACGGAGATTGAACTGCTGGCGGTAGTCTGGGCAGTCCACAAGGCTAGACTGTTCCTGGCCGGTGCTGATTTCGAGCTGATAGTCGATCACAAGCCGCTCATTCCTATCCTGAATGCTAAGACGCTGGATGAGTTGACGTCTCCACGAATCGGGCGACTGCGGGAGAAGCTGACGCCTTTTCGGTTCGTGGCTCAGTGGAGACCGGGTGCCGATCACAAGGTCGCAGATTGCCTGTCGAGACACCCAGTAAGTGCACCAGACCCTGACGATGAAGCTGGTTAGGAAGAAATCGAGCACTGCTCCTGTGTTCTCCGTCAGCTGTTGCAAGAGGACGAGGGAACAGGCCATACAGTCCTCCCCGACCTTGGCATTACGAAGGTGCGGGCGGAGGGCTCGACGGACCTGGAATACCTCAAGCTACTGAACGCCGTAAATAGCGGCTTTTCGGTGTACAAGGCTGTTCTGGACCTCGATCTGCACCCGTACTGGCAGGTTCGGCATGATCTGTCGATCGAGGACGGTATAGTGCTGTTGGGCCACCGTATTGTCGTTCCCAGAAGGTTACGCCAGACCACACTGGAGCAACTTCACGCTTCTCATCAGGGACAGACCCGCACACTCTGCAGGGCCAGGCAAGCAGTGTACTGGCCCCAGATCTCCAATGACGTTAAGAACGTCGTCCAGACATGCAGATCCTGCGTCACGCTGCTCCCCTCCCAACCTTCTGAGCCGCTCCTCTCTGGCAGTCGTCCGTCCAGACCGTTCGAAGATGCAGCGGCGGACCTCTTCTCCTTAGGCGGCTTTGAGTACCTGGTTCTCACCCACAAGTTTTCCGGTTGGCCATTTGTTGGGCGTTGTGGGAGGTCGGCTACCACGTCTGATGTCACCAAACATCTCGTTCAGTGGATGTCGGATGTTGGCGTTCCTACCCGCCTGACGACGGATGGTGGGCCGCAATTCAGATCTTCAGCGTTCGTTTCGTTCTGCTCAGAGTGGAACATTTGCCACGACCCCAGCAGCCCGTGCAATCCTCAGTCAAATGGCGCGGCTGAGGCGGCGTTCAAGGCCATGAAGCACTTGTTAATGAAAATCGGCAAAGGAGACGCCTACGGCAGCAGTGCCTTCAGAGAAGGGTTGCTGGAGTGGCGTAACACGCCGGGTGCAGGAGGAGCAAGCCCGGCCCAGCTGCTGTTTGGAAGGCCAACGAGGACCAAGGTTCCCACACTCCCTGTAAATCTGCAGCAGTACGCTACCCACAGCCGCAGCGCTCCCCAGCAGGTCTCATCCCGGCTTGGCAAACCTCTGCCACCTCTGCACGTAGTCGATAAGGTATGGATCCAGAACCCGTCTTCAAAACGCTGGGGTATGGAAGGAACGGTCACAAAATGCACAAGAAGAGGACGGAGCTACACAGTGCAGTCGGTAAGGGGGTCCAGCTTCTGGCGGAACAGACGGTTCCTCGGGCCACGTGCATAGATTGACTGGGAATGCTTCTCCTGCTTTTTCCTTGTTGGTTGTGCGCTACGCTGTGATTTTCGAATTTCAGTTTCAGGATTTTCTTTGTGTTAGTGCTCCAAAGTCGCACTTAAGCCAAGGGGGCACGTGGTGATATTATAGCACCTTTACCTGCTTGGGCCTTGGCACTCAGGCTGCTAGTGCTACTGTTCGCATCCTAGGCCCTGCACTGCTGGACCTCTGGCGCGTTGCGCATAACACATTCACTTATCACCTTTCAAGCCGCCTTTCCAGCCAGCTTACCTTTAAATGCCATTGCGTTTCACTGATGATTCAATCTCATCTTTCGAAGAATTGGTCTGCCTTGAGCAGGGCACAACAAGTAGTTTTCACATCACCACCACATAGAGCCATGGCTACATCCAGGAAATTAATGGCCATCATCTCCAAATATCACTAAATTGCATCGCTAAAATAGGTAAATTTCAAGGACCATAGCGGGAACCATTTATGACGTCTATTTTTCTGAACCATGCACTGCAGGACAGTGGACTATCTCCACTACCACCCGGGACATGTCTCGTAAAAAGTGTTCCACGTTCTCTGGGAATAAACAAATTTGAATATTTTCACTTCACCACATTCCAACACTGCCAATTTCCTACCTCACGACGGAAAGCGCCTCCTCAAGCTCCAACACCAGGTACCGCTCCAGACGCCAGCACGCCAAACACTGCAGCGTAGTCACCTCTACCGAGTCTGACCAGAAATTTGAACTGACAACCCTTGTCACTCCAAACAACAACCATTTCCTTCCCTGAACCACTCGAATTTCACTAGCAGCAAAGCTTTGCAGAAGTTCCAAAAATATTGAACAAATCTAGATTTGTGCGATCGAAGCACGATATATTTGCGTCCTGAAACTGGCCGTGCGCCGACCACCGCGTGATCTAGCAGATCGACGGATTTGATCGACAATCAAGATCAGAATCAAATCTAGACGATCAGATTGATCAGCAACATGATTTTTACGATGCTATGATGTATGATGGCATGCTGCTTGAGTGAACCATGAAGAGGCACGATGCCCTGGACTTCACGATATGGGCCATATATGGGATCTAGCTGCAACTTGTTTTCCAGGCAACTCATTCGACATTTCGCAATTTTCGGCCACGTAGTCACCACGGGTTTGAGCACGTGCTTTTCAGGTGCACTCCGGAGAGATCGAACTTCTGGGTACAGAAATGCATCCACGGCTATTTCGTGTGTCTTGTAAGTTGATCGTGTGTTTCGTGCATTTTTTGAGGATGCCAACAGTAATTTTGTGTAGCGCGCATGGATGACATCTGTTGTCGGAGCGACACAGCTCGACAAAGAGAACACTGTTGAGTTCTATCGACATAATGTCTCCATTCCCACCAGATCTATATTCCTGCAACCAGATGACGTGATGGGCTCAACACATTATTGGTGTTTTGAGCATAGTCATCCGAGTCCTAGAAATCGAATTTTCATTACGAGCTGAATTTCAAAATATCCTCCTTCTCAGGTCGATGAAGTCGCACTGAGGCCAAACGCTGCGTGGTCAACCAGCCCTGCATTGTCACTGATTAGAGGGTCGACCTTTTGGAGACAAATAGTTGCTCGACAAGAAAATTACAACAAGCAGACTTACGCTCGCTCCTCACCGACCGTGAGGAAAACACACACCTCGCTGCGTGCTGCGAACTCCGGCAACTCGGGTAAATGTACGCAAAAATCGTGTTGCTGATCAGCCTTCGCCTTCGGCATCCAGATTTTGATTCTGATCTTGATTGTCGATCAAGTCGATCAAATCCGTTGATTTGCTATGTCACGCGGTGGTCGGAGCACGGCCAGTGGACCGTATGCGTGTTAAAACAAAATGGCGTCACGATTTATTGAAAGTGGTATAGTTGGTGGAACGAGTGTTCAAACCCATTTGAACTTCATACTGTTCGTCTTCTTTTTGACATGCTCTCTTTCCATCGTCCTTAGCTTTTGTTTGTTGAGAGCTGTTTTGGCTTTCTCCTATACCTCTGGGGGA